AACAGAGGTACAGTAGAGCTGAGGGTTTTGACACCCGGTGATGCTGCTTCGAAAGTTCATCAGCAAGCACCATTGGTTCTGGGGTCCAACCCTCCATGGTAGACCATGTTAACCTACTGAATCGAATATAGGGGCCTTACAAGAAAAAGAACGGGATTTTGCGGCAATTTATAATGCAATAACGACTCAGGAGCCCCCAGGAACAATGTTGGTAAATACTCCGAGCCCTTGGTAAACGGGCTTAGGGCTTAAGGCCCGCAGGCCAAGCTCGAAAAAGGGGAGCCGAGAAACACGTCTCCACCTGCCATCAATATGAAGTAAAGGGTTAAGGGCTTTAGGACTTTAGGGCTTAGTTTAAAGGCCCCATGAAAACCTCCTCACACCCCGTTTGGGACTGTCTTAAAGTCTTGTTTGCCACACCTCAACCCTCGCATTAGCCTCCGCGGCTGCGCGAACTCTGCACGAAAGGCTGCAGTGTCGGGCGCAGAATCCAGACGCGGAAGTGGCTTCCAATCTCAGGAAGTGGTTTAGGGTCAAGGTTTGAGGTTAGGCTGTGCCCCAAGGGTCCATAGTAGTACAGACTTAACTTAGGAGGTAGGGTAACCATTATCTGCGGCTGCACAAAGTCGCGTAGAAGTTGGCTCAAGAGGTGAAGCCATCACGGCTTGATTATGCGGAGTCGTAATAAGGCTTGGTAAACGGGGCTTAAAAGGCTTGCAAAGATTTGAACAAAGGCACGGCAACCCAACAGTTTGGACCGGAATCCTTGAACCCTACTCCGTGCCATAAATACCTTCCCCTACACCGGAAACGACTACGAAATCCAAACAAAATGCAACAAAACAAGTGGCACAGCTGAGCATCTTGGACGTTAGACCCGGCAGGACAGCTCTGAACCCACAACCTTTCGTGGCCAAAGGACTCACGGGGCAGTCGACACAGCCGTTAGGGCAGCGGACATCGACCCGCGCACGCTTCGCTGTCGCCATGGACACACCATTCAGAGAGGCGGAGGGCTCAACATAGGGGGCCTTTATAAGAGTAGGGCTTTGGGGGGGGGGGGTATGTTATACTAGAACTATATAATTCGACTATAATTCGGAACTCCCTATGCTAAGGCCCCTATATTAGGGCTTTAGGGCTTTTAGGTTGAAGGTTCTGGGCCAATGGGGTTGTAGGTTTGGGTAGGGTGTAGGGTCTACGCCTAAGGGCACTGCGTTTAGGGGCTTAGGGTTTGCGGTGTAGGTATGGGGTTTGCGAAAGGTCCAGGGTCTAGGGCGACTGTAGGGTACTTGACACATGTTCAGCCATCGGCTTAATAAAGTATGGGGGCCCATTGTGCTTTTACAAGGACCCTAGCTTTCGCGCCCTTTGAGCTGAGGTGATGTCGGACCAGGTCCAGAACTGCCGGTGCAACACAAATAGCGAACGGGGCTCTGATAGGGGAGCCCTACAGTAGGGCTTTACAAGGAAGGGGTGATAAGGATTCTGCTTTAGGAGGGTGCTATATGGTTTTGTGGGATCTTCTATTTATCGAAATCTGTAAGCGGATAGTATATGCAAATGTATATGTGTATGTAAACGTGTATACATATATGTATATGTTGAAGGCCGTCTGAATAAACTCATGGAGAGGCAACTCTTAAGGCCATAGGTTATAGGGGATACTGCAAAGTTGCCCAACAGAGGCTCATATCCAAACTTCCACAGGCCCACACATGAACCCCATCAAAACATCCACAAACTCCAGTTCGCCAAATGCGCAAGGCACCCTCGATCCTGAATCGTCCCTGGGTCCAATTAACACCGAAACCCTGCGAAGCAGAGATGAATGGGGCGAAACCTCAGGGTGCAGCGTTTCGACCTGAGTACAGGCAGCGCCGGTGAAGGGTCTTTCATGCAGGGTCTGCTCTGCAAGCATATTTCAAGGGTCAGCACAACAAGTAACAGTATCCGCCATGTAGACTTCCTATATAACTCAACTACAAAATGTGCAAACAAACTTTGAACATACTTACATCCCTATTGCTAGAACGCGCCTGAACCAAGCAGATTGCATTTCAGGCCAATCCTTTGGTGATTTGGGGTGCCCGAACTGGCCGGAGTTGCCGCAGATGTGTTTTTCCGGCTCTTAGTAGGGAGGCTGTTTTGTTTGGCTTTGTCTTGACATTGCAGAAACCACTCATCACATGCCGTCAAATTACCCTGGTTCTACACATACGAAGCACCGTGCCTGTGGGGGACACTACGGGCCCCGCAGGCCTGACCCCAACAGCTATACGTTGACCTACCAAACCTGCTTTTTGTTTTCTTTTTGTGGGGTCCGTACAAGATCTATATTACGGCTCATAATAATCAGAACCTACAAAGAAGTAGATTATGGTAGTTTAGGGTTTATGACAAACCACCGGAACCAAAGTTCGCTGGAGTTGTAAGGTTGAGGGCTTTACGGTTTAGGAAACTTCATAGGTTATGAAACCTAGCAACCTCCCTAGCCCCGAAATGTCATGGCGAGAATCCTGGACCCCGAACGAACCCTAAAGCCCTAAACCCTATTACCCCAAACCCTAAACCCTTTAAACGGAAGTGGTAGGAACGGTAAGGATCCTCTGAGCACACTTCGAAGAATTCCATGGACTCTCACTTCCCACGAAATCCAGAAACTCAACTCCAATGTAGGGGCCTTGATAATAATTAGAATAGGGCTTTGGGGTGTACTATATTTCTGATAAGTATAGTGAGGAACCCCAACATAGTATTGGTAAGTATGTAGGCCCCTGTAGTAATACGAAAACACATGCATCACATCCAACCCAGACTCAGGTTACACACCTTGTCATCCCCGCCCTCACCGAGAAGAAACTTCTTCTTCGTAAGTTGAATGCATAAGAGCTTTAACAAAAAGGTGGAAGTATGCTCGAACCCTTTCTCAAAGACGGTGGGATATTCCTTTGTTGAGGAGTGGCTGCAGAGCACAACTGGTGGGGTAATTATTCCTAACCGCTGAATCCTAAGGCCCTGAACACAAAGCCGAACGATTCTTCCAAGCTTCTTCATTGGAGTTCAGTGATACTCGGCCCAGTCCAGTACCAAGGGTCTCGCGAGATGCAACTCTTGGCGCTTTGAAGGGTGCTTATGAACGGGCTCTCGGGTTGAGACGCTTGCAGTCATGGTTCGAAGCTTGTGCTTGGAGAGGATTCTAAAGCCTAAACCCAAAGCCGCGAGTTTGTCTTCAAATCTCAACTTCCAGTTGGAGGCTTTGCTTTTGTGTTGGCGGTTGGGGATTTCGGTGTCGTGTTCTGGTGAGCTTGTGTGAGCGGCGCCTTGTTGGCTATAAGATCAAACCTGTGCGATGACCAAAACCTCCAAACGGACTACAACATTCAAACCCCTTATCAGATATCAAAAAACGGTAAGCCTGCGTAAGATACCCGAAGAAGAAAAACAATCAAAGCCCTGCTTGTGTGAAACCTTGAGAACTCCTCCCGCCCCCCCTAACCCTAACCTCCCCCCCCTCATCCCCTCAACAAAAGCATCGGCCTCGATGCCCAAGGCCACAGAACCGGCCCCAAAGCTCAAGGAGCTGACAGCGGCCGGAAGCTTCCAGCCTCTTAAGGATTCGGGAAACCATGCCGAGGGCTTCAGGGGTCCTTTTAAGAGACACGGTTTCAGCAGGGGCCCTTTACGTTGGAGAGGATATATGATTCCAAGTGTATCTCCCTCAGGGCCTACGTGCCCATATCGTAGATGCTTCGGGCATGAAATGCCTACAGATGACAACCTGTAGGGATGCTATAAGAAATACTTCAAGTCTATTCTACAGGGCACCATACGGCTTTAGGGGTTTAGGGTGTCCTTCGAGAGCTTAGGCTAGACCCGATTAGTGTGTGGCTGTAATTATACACAGTTACACCTGGTTGCATCCGTCGGTGTAAAGCGTTTCGGAAAGGCTTTACGGGATTTATAGGGCTTTGCAGGGTTTAGGCAGTGTATATAGAGGGCTACTATTGCTATCGCTAGTTGTGACCCGACTTATGCTTCGGGGTCTGAGGGTCTGAGAATTAGAGCCTTTTGCTTTCAGAGTTTGTAGGGTCGTAATATAGGGGCCTTAAGAATTAGAATAGGGTTCTGGGGCCCATTCTACTATAGTTATAATAAGGAGCCCCCCCAAAATAGTAGAGGGACTTATTCAGGTCCCTACATTAGGGTAATGTTTAGGTTTGGCTCTCGCGGCGCCGCCTGTGGGTCTCGTTCTAGAAGCGGCTTAGGGGTTTAAGCTTCGGGGGTCGTAGACATTTATGATTAGGTTTCTGCCTTGTAGCTCTCAACTTCGTAGGGATATGCTTGGAACAGAAGGCCCTGCAACGGCCTTGCACAAGCTCTTTCGAACACGTACAGATCCCTCATAGCGCCTGCTTCGACGGGTTTAGACATGCTGCAGTTTCGTGCTATGAACATATAAAGGGGGTTCGGTGACTTAAGAAATACTATGTTTCGCGTTCGGGTGCTTAGAATGTGCCTAGGGTTGTTGCTGTGGTTTGTAAGCTTCTGGTGCCGATACTTTGGAGACCCTTCTGACGGGAGTAGGGGGTCTTGGGTTTGGGGCTTCGACTCTCACAATTGGGACAAGCCGCGCAGTAAAGCAGGTCCAACGATCGAGCAGCCCGACCCGACCCTTGTTATCATCTGCAGGTGCCTGTCTTCCAGCCAACTAGCCCAACAACCTCAAAAGGTTCAGGATTTAGGAAGCAGAACCACCACCACTTGTTAAGAAAGTTCAAGCGTTTAGGAGTTCAGTATAGTTGTATATCTAGTACGTCTTGCGTGTATAGACGTTATGTATGTTTGCACAATAAGCAAGCATGTAGTGTATCACTTTGGAGATATAAAGATAGATGCAAATCGAAGGCGGTTCGGGCCATGGCACCCTGCAGTTCCTAAACCATGACTCTAACTCCTACACTCTTTCTGCTTCCAGGCCTCACCCTAAACCCTCAACCCTAAATCTTAAGCCCTTCGGTTGCCGAGATGCTCTTGCACTCTTCCCCATCCAGCGTCCAAAGTCTGAGCGTGGCATCGGCAGATGCCTCGACAAGTCTGAGATGCTTGCAAGCTTTGGGACTGCTTTAGACCCTAAACCCGAAGCCGGGTTCTTATAGGCTGCTTTGTTGTTCTTATTGGGCTCCTCCAAGAGCTTCTTTCAGGGTCACAGGAAGTGCATTTCTTCTTGCGGCAGTCTTTCAGGGTTTCTAGCAGGCTTTCAAGAGATGGAGCTCTTGGGTTTTCGTGGTCTAAAGGCGAGCGATGCACACGGCGGACGAATATTTTCTACAGTTGGATGAAGCATCGACGCGATACTCCACAGGTCAGGGATTTGGAGTTTTAAGCCCTAAGCAACCCCAAATAATCCGTTGGCGTTGGGGTTTAAGGGCTTAGGGTCTGTAAGTTGGGTTGAGGGCTTTGGGGTCTAGAGTAAGGAGGCGCAGGAACTCAGCGTCTAGGAGATTCCTCCGGACTTAGGGCTTTAGGGTCCCAAAGCGAAGGTTTCTCAATGTCCTGTGACTTCAGTGCAGAAGAGATCTATGCAAGTCTTGTTGAAAGACATCGATTGGCAACTTGAGTTGTAGCTTACATGTGAAACTTTTCAACTACCCCTTCTTCAAGCAAGACGCCGAGAGCAAACGCTCTTCGCCTTCGAGGCACAGAGTGGAGACCGCCTGGCTGCGCAAAGGGCTCGCAAACAAAAACCAAGGATGGGTTTAAGGTTTAGGTTTACGTAGGCCTACGGTTGTAGAGGTCTTAAATAGAGTGAAAGCATTTAGGCTCCTCAAGCCGTGAATAATAAGTGTCTCACCTACCATAACACCGGCCGCTTTCGCAACCTGAGTGACATTTGGTTGGCGTGGATCGCGAACGAACTACGACGCTCAATTGTTGATGCTCTCGTATCTACAGACCTTACAAACCCTGCCATAAACTAAATCTAAACCCGGACAACACCATCGGAGGAAGTGGCGAACTTAACCTTGCCGTGACCGTAAACGCCACGCATCCCGTTGCTTGGATTTGGGGGCTTTTTGCTTCAGAAATTCTATGTCAGCCGAATACATGGGTCTTAATTCGTAGAATAGGGCCTTGGGGGGGCACAATACTGTAAACTGTGAAAGGGAATAAGCGACTGCTGTTCTGACTGCGGTTCTTGATAGTTCAAACAGACCTCTATGATTACTGTTTGGACTTACTACAAGCTGCGCCATTGCAACAGCGGAAGGGTATAGACTTCGAGCTTTCAAGAGAGTCGGGTTGAAGCGTTTGTTTGCAGGGGGGCGGGCTTGAGATCGTTTAACGCCGGTCAGGCACGCTTGAGAGTGAGTTGTCTTACTCATGTCGCGGAAGTACCAACGCAAGCACCGAGCGTCCAAAGAAAGGTTTTAGGATTTTGAGCTGCTGCGAGCTTTACGACAGATCCCGACACAGCCGCAGTTTCAAATACCGAACCTGATTGAATTTGAAACCCTAGGCACTCAAACCTAACCTCCTGAACGCTACCCTGCCAGGATCTTAAACCCTTAACACTACACCTCAACACTTTCAAACCGAAAGCCCAAACTCCCCCTTTTCAAGTCGTCATCCAAAGAGATTCCAAGCTACTCTGCCGGTGAGTCGCAGTTATCTGCGATGTGTGCCCGAAGCAGAAGCTGCGAATGTCGGCCGTCTGCAAGAGGCTCGAGGTTAGGTAAGCGGGACTGTACTGCAAGGTAGTATTCTGCCGGACATATCCATGCTGTGCCCAATAAAGGTATCTTGTTACAAGAACCCGGAGTTAAAGAAGCCGCCAAATGCTTGTTTCTGGTTGGGGACTTACTTTAGATATCCGGGAGGTGTCTTGCTGATGTCAAAAGGCCACCAAGACTTCGATCAGGGTTTGTTCGGCTTAGGCTTACATCTATCCAGAAAAAACACAATCACCCTAAATCTTAACGCATTATCAGCACAGTCAAGGCATTTTGGGGTCGGCTACGGGTTACGGTTTACGAGTTTAGTAGGGTTTAAGTTTCGAGACCATAAGCCCGAAATATCAAAATGTTTAGACGGTGCATGGGCGACCCTTGTAAAAATGGGGGGGGGGGGCTTACGTAGTTACTGGAATGGAATTGGGTGTGTGTGTGTATATATACATATATATATATATATATATATATTACGTAGTCTATATTCAGTAAGCAACCCAAAGAACTAGTTTGACTGGGTCATTATAGCGGCCCGTATACTACGTGTGACTTGGTTTCGAGAATTAAGGTTCGGGGCCCGGAACATGCAGGGAATATTGCGACTTCGCTTGAGGATGATGATCTTTGGGAAGCCTCGTGCCCTGTGCGCATGGCGGAAGACAAAGCACAAGCCGAGATAAACCAAAGATGCCCCTTGCAAGCACAGCGCTTCATACCCCTAAACGCTAAACCGCAGCGGCCCCGAACAACGCTTCATCCCTAAAGGCCCTGGCCTCGGGGTAGCGGCTTACTCGCACTTTCTCCTCGGCTGGAAATCAAGGGAGGTCAGTTACGGCACCTTTAACCTGAAATTGCGAAGCCATAAGCCCCAGAAAAAAGGATGCAAAGAAACACGTGCCTAGGCTGGCTCTCAAAGTGCTGGTTCAGGGGCCCAGGATTTCAAACACCATGAGATACTCTCTGAGTTTCCTCATCAACTCCATAGCCTTCCAAACCGGGTTGGCGGTCTCTCTGTCGCCAAGCTGTCGTCGTAGAAACCAGAAACCGAAGTTCGAGGCCCCAACCAAGGCTTTTGGGGCCAGAGCTTGGTCGTTCAGGGAACAGTCCACCGGCAATGGGCTTTCCAGCTACAACTTCGGAGTCGTGAATCCTGAAGTTTTCGCAAGCAGATACGTGCTACTCGGATAAGAAAGCTTATCCCCCGGATGACCTTCCTCCGGGACACCAGGATCAAACCACGAAGCCAACGAGCCGAATCCTCCAGTGCGATTAACTCAAGCATAGAACCAAACGACACCGCCCAACAGCTCCACAACAACACCCGACGAGTCCTGTGCCTAGACGTCCTGCATGCGACTCCTCAAGCCTCTGCAAGATCAGCGCAGCGGCTGGTTCCGATGAACATAACCCTCTCCAAACAAACAGAAATGCCCAAGTCCAAGCAGAAATTCCATTCCCGAAGCCTAAAGTCTTAAGGCCCCGTAGTCCTGACACCTAAACTTAAGCTCTTTATGCCTTCTAAAGCCCCATGCTCCAAGCCTCTAACGCTCTAGTAAACCGCAAGTTCTACACCGGCCCTAGAACTTTCTAACCCTGAGGTCTTGCACCATAGACCATGCAGTTGCAGTCGTCTGTCCAGTACTGCCTCGCATGCTGACCAGTGGCGTGATTGTCGCCCACGACTAGGTGCGAACCACTTGGAGTGAACGCCATGGCTGTGACCTGGGCAAGCGGAGGGGGGTGGGGAGCATTTAAGACTTCCTTTGGGGGCAAAAGAAGCTTTGGCTTTCAGCGTCGTGCNNGCACGACGCTGAAAGCCAAAGCTTCTATAACCGGGGCGATCAAAATTAGAATAGGGTTCCAGGGTACGCTATGCCGCTATAATGTCCATAAAGGGACCTCAAGCAGGCTCTATAGTAATTGTTCCTACCACTCCAGTTCTGATGCCCGCCAACAGAAAGGCATCACCTGTGAGAAGACACGTGGCCAAAAAAAACATCATCTGGACGACACCTGCCCGTGCTGGCAGGTGCTTCTGTTGAGTGCGAAGATAAGGCACAATGCAAAAGGCCACAAACTTGTCTCACCACCGCATGAGCCTCGCTTGAATCCAGCCCCAGTCAAAGGCCTTGCAAAGCCCATCTGGAAGTTAACAGCATTTGGGTAAGTCGCTTAAACGCTGTAAGCTTCTAGATGGGTGCTGTACTAGTAAGTCCCTGATGTAGAACCCCTGGCACGAACAAGCCCTGTCTTTGGGCACAAATGCCCTAAACGAGCGCCCTGGAGCATTACTTCAACAGATAGGTCCCACATACAACACAACAACCGTTTGCATCACGAGGATCCATGGCAAAGTGACTGGATAGAAGCTGGGCGTCACCTCCCGACGAGGAGGCTGTTGCAGTTGGGGCGGGGACGTATATAGAGTTGTGCGCGTGTCGGGGTAACCTGCTTTGCACACTTTCCCATGCAAAGAGCGTGCATGCATACATGTCGAAGCATTCGTTTGTTTACTACAGTAATTACGCGTGTCATCCAAAACCCTACGCCAGTGCGCCCCCAAGCTCTAGGTTTTCGAGAAACAACCCCTCAACCGTAAATTCCGAAACGCAGACCCTGGCTGGCATTGTTGTAAGTTTTCATTATACGGACAGCAGAACCTAGAAGTCTAAACGCCCATAGCCACACCGGCCTTCGCCGGGAACCCATCGCAAGACATCACCGAAGCGATCGCCGAAAACAACGCGGCCATCTGAGAAGGCGTAAACGCTCTGGTTGCTTCAACATTTCGGGTTTGGGGGTCTCAGGGGCTTGGGTTTGGGAACGCAGGGATTCGAGTCTGCCAGCCTCTTGAGAACCCCGAGCTTTCAAGTGAGAACCGAGAACCAATAAAGCCCATGATTCCTCTAAGGGTTCTAGAAGTGTGGTATAGGAGGTCTAGGGCTCCCTTTAAGGGGTTCTATAAGTGCCGATATACTGCACGAAAAGCTACGAGAACCTGAAGCCCCAAACCCTAAAACCCTTTTGCCAAGACCCCCCCCCCAGCCCTAAACCCCAAACAAAACCCTTTTGGGGTTTACCTATTTTGAGCATGGTTTCGGCCAGAAAATGATATGTTCCCATGTAAGACTCTTCATTCTCTGTACCTGTGACTTTCAGCACCCATGAACCTTCTCAAAAGAAGAGATCCGAACGGTCTGTAGCTACTGCTTCTACACTCTGCCTGCGGGTTCTGTTTTCGGGCCTAGGGGGTATGGACTTCGAACACCCTGAATTCTGAATCCTCAGCCCTTTAGGTATTGGGGCTGCGGAATCCTAGTTGTTTATAGCAGGTGAGACTACAGACAGCTTTGAGGACAAAGTCTCCAGGTGCTCAGGACTTTTCCCGTATTTTATGTTTTGGGTTTCGGTCTTTAGGGATCTAGAGTTTAAAGTTCCGGGGAGGTTTAAGGACAACTGCAAACCCCCGGCCCCTACCCAGAATTGCTACGCTGCCAAGTCTGTTCGCAAGCAAGTAGACCTTCCTGACACATGGGTAGTTCTCTAAATTTAAGGCCCGTTTTGGGACCCTAGACTAGAGAACTAACCACATGCAACTGCAACGCCTTTGTCGAAGAGAGCGGCAGTGATCTTCTTCCTCGGCTTAGGGGAAATGCACCCTAAACCCGAAACCCAAAACCCCAAAACCCTAGAATACTAAACCCTACAGTCCTAAACCCTCAACCCCTAAACCCTAAAATTCTAAACCCTCAACCCCCAAACCCTAAAATCCTAAACCCCTAAATACCCTAAACCCCCAAACCCTAAACCGTAAGCTTAGGGCTCAGAGCCTGGACTTGGGGGAGTTCAACGCTAAGGGCTTCGTTCCAAAGCCTTCGGATCCCTTGAACAAAACTCTCCTCGAACTCCTCCCTAAGCCCTAATCCCCGCACCCTGAACCCTAAACCCTAAACCCTGAACCCTAAACCCTGATTCCTAAACCCTGAACTCTGAACCCTGAGCCCTGAACCCTAAACCCTGAAACCCCAAAAAGGCCCTAGGCCCCTCGGCTTTCCTGAGGCTTCATCTTGGTCGTACTCGCCGAGCAGCGGGTTGCTGAAGGAGTGCTGGAGCTCCCAGTCGCCTCCTTCCTCTGCCCAGGTCATCACCATCTTGTCATCCCCTGCTTTGAGGAGTCCGGCTTTTTAGGGTTTAGGCTCTTGGCGTTTAGGGCTCCATCTTTAGATTTTCTATGGCTATGTGGTGTTCAGGGTTTTTAAATATAAGTCTGTTGGTTTGGTTCGGTAGGCTTTGGTGTGGTCTTTTTTGTATGAGTTTGAGGGGCCTCCAGCTTGGTTGTTGATACGGGCTCTCGAAGCAGCTTACAAATGGCAAACGTTTCGCTTGGGATGCGAGGTGCGGGGTTTAGGTCCAACTCGGAAAGACGCAGCAAGCCTTGTTCAGCTACGTAACTCGGCGTCCTCACGAGGGTCCATCATCTAGTTGACTACCTATTCCCTCCCTCCCCTCCCTTTCCTCATGAAGACACTACTGACTCCTCCAAAACCCCTGAGCCCTGCCCTGATACTAGGAACCTTACTCGCCAAAATAACGGGTTTTCGGGTATGGTATAGTACAGTATATTGTACTATATTATAGTATATTATAGTATATTATACTATAATACTATAGTAGAGGTATGTAGAGATCAGCCTCCGACCCCGAGGGCGGCAGAAGACCCAAGCAAACCCGGCCGGAGCAGGCTGCCAAGGAGGGCAGTGCTAGATATAGTAGAATCTGAGTAGAATATACTAGAACATAATATACTAGAATAAACTACTATAGGATTTTTTGGGCTTGGCTACAGAGGATATGTATCCCACATACTATCTGTCGGGTCTGTAGATTTATCATGGGGCCCTTTCTTGGGCTGCGAGATTTCTATTCTATATGAACAGTTTCAGGGTGTAGATATCCCAGTGTTGACCTGAACCCCAAGCCAAAACGCATGACTTCCATAACGAAAAATCGTAGGCTTCGTGGGCCGAACCCAACTGTTTACATTCCGCCCTCTTTCGAGCCTGCAGATAGCCAGACCGTCTTCCCCGCAGCCTGTGGACAAGCATCCAGGGCGCGGATAGCCTCAAACACGGCTGAGGCTTTATTACATGGCTTCTATCATGATTCTTTTCATGGGTTCGACAAGGCTTCTGAAGTTGTTTATTGCTTTCGGGGCTTAGGGATTAACGGTTGTAGGGAATACGGCATGGGGCTTTATGGTGCCGGGAATCGAGGATACATGAAATTTCGGGGCTGAGGCTTGATCCTATACCTCTGAGTGCTTAAGGCTTACTTACTCTGGTGTCCAAAGGACACAGGCGATGCTGCTGGGGCCCTATCTTGCTTCCAGACTGTTAGCTACCTATCTATCTGTCGGTCTATCTATCTATCTATCTATCTATCTATCGATCTATCTATCTATCGAACTATATGTTTTTCGATCTCTCTCTCATATGTATATATATATATATATGTTTCCAGAGCATATTATACTATATG